GCCCAGGAGGTGGGTGTCCCCTTTTCCGGGCCCTTGAGGTTCACCTGCTCAAGACTTCAGAGTCCCCACTCTTTCCAAGGTTCCTCAGAGCATATTTCTCCCACGTGAGAAGGCTACAGCACCCAGGAGCCTTCTCCTTTAGCTCAGAAAAGAAACACGTCTCCAGATTTGACATCCCTGGAGACACATATCCTTCTGACTGGAGGATGGAAAACTCGTGCCCAAGGCCGGTGCCCAGCCTTTCCTGTGGGTCTGGCTTTGACTCAGAAACCCTCCCTCCCTCTCATCCCCTCTGGAATCTGTCAGATTGTGGGAGCTGAAGGAACTGAATCGATGCCCAGCTCAATCTTTTTTTTTTAAAAACCTGACTAGCACATTCCCTGCATGAGCTGACTGTCATATGTCGGGCAGAGTCTCTCCATTTCCTAACTTGCTGTTCTCCCCTTCAGTCCAAGCTTCCACAAGCTACTTAGGGAGGAAAGTAGCCCCTAAAACCAGACAGCTGGAAAGACATTATTTTCCGGGGGAAAGACGCAATTAGCTGGCAAATCGGGAGACATGAGATTTAATCTCAGTTCTGCTGCTGCTGAGCAGTGCATTTTGGGTAAGTCAGTTTCCATGGTTTCGGTTTCCTCTTCTGTAGATCGGCAGGGGGTGCTTGCAGAGATCAGTGGGCCTCCACCTGCAGGGAGGTGGAAAGTCACCCTGGGAGCAGGCTTGTTAAAACAGATTGCTGGGCCCTACCCCAGAATTTGATTAAATAGGTCTTGGGTGGGACCCCAAATTTGCATTTCCAGCAAGTTCCCAGGTGGTTCTGCTGCTCCAGGGATGCCACCTGGAGAACCACCCATTAGATCTTCCCTAAATCCTTGCTAATCAGTATGTTGTCCTTGGACCAACATCATCAGCATCATCTGGAAGATTATTAGAAACAAAATCTGGGGCCCTACTTGGTCCTACTGAATTAGACTCTGCATAAAAACGAGATTCCCAGGTGATTCTTCTGCACATTAAAATTTGAGAAACATGGCTCTAAATTCATTTTGTGATTTTGTAGAGAAGATATTCTTTTTCTTTCTACGCACAGGCAACCACCACCCACCTACCCACTTATATATAGACAGAGGGAAAAAAATTACCTTCTCAATTTGCAAGGCACATTGTGGTTTCCCTAAGGCTTTCATTCTCCATAAAAATGTATATATGTAATCCCTTAACTAGAGAATATAGCTTGACTTACGGGTTCTTACACATAGGATCTTAAAAACAGGATCAGGGTGTTAGTGACCAAAGAAACCTTAGAGATCCAATCTAACATCTATAAGGGAGGAAAGAGAGGAGATGGATGGATAAAGAGAGACACTCAATGGAGTCTACTTTCAGTTCTTCTAACATGCAAAACTGTTGACACCCAACAGCTTTGAAAAGGATGTCCTAGACTTTTTGTGTATTTCTGGAGTTAAAAATAGGAATCACTTGAGGCTGTGGGCATAACAGAAATAACCTAAACCAGGAGTTAAAGGCTAAATACGATCACAGACTTCAGCAGGCTAGACACAGATTCCTGTTTAACTGCTTGGGGTGGGAGCCATTTTTCAAAATAGTGTGGAAGGTAAGACTCTAATGCTTCCAGCTTTCAAAACAAATTTGTCTCTAAATTCTTTTTATAAATTGTTGAAATAGTTTAAGGCGTTCAAATTTAAAATGGTGGGATTTTAAGATGGCAGCTAATGAAGAGCCTGTATAATCACACACACACACACACACACACACACACACGCACACACACACACACCCTGTAAAATAACGTAAGCTTCCTTTGCTTCATGAGTCATGTGTACACTGGTTTCCTCTCCCCCCAGCGTCTAATGATGTTTACCTCCTCCTGAATCCCGCAGGACTGCCTGTGGAGCTAGGCGGTAGATGAGAGCATCTTTGCTCATCATGCAGACCCAGCAGCGAGTGTTTTAAGGTAGAAGGAGTTTTGTGGTGCTGCAGTGGGGGAGGGGGGGCCGAGCAGGTGCATTCAGAGCAGGACCGGCATGCACTGGGGAAGGCGGCGGCCCCACGTGCAGGTGCCCCGCCCACTGGGCGTGATGGAGGACGCCAGGGAGGATCACGACGTGGCTAGAGCCCACACAAGCCAGTTCGCGGACACCGTGGCAGCTGCTCTAAGTGGACCACTGCCCCCCAGGGAGGTTCCGGGGACCCGGGCCGTGACGCACGTACCGGGCCTGGCGGGGGTCTTGGCGGGGTGGGCGCCCTGCGGCCGTGCGTTCTGGAAGCAGCTCGACCTGCGGGCCTCGCCGTCGCGGTGGTCGCTGCGGTGCTGCAGTAGCTCCAGGGGCCGGGATGTGTAGAGGTCGGACTCGATCACCACCTGCGGGGGGGAGGAAGGACCGTCAGCTTGTTCCTCCCCTAGAATCTCAGCCTCCACAGCCGAGGCCAGGACTGCAGCTTTGCGGACGGACCTCGTGCTGACACGGAGCCTTCCTGACTCCAGCCATTGCTGGGAGCAGCGAGGAAACCTGGGGAGACTGGACTGAAACGGCGAAGTGTTGTGTTTAACTTCAGCATGTCCGGTGGCACCATGGTGCAGGAAAATGAGGTTTCTGGGGGCTCCTCACCAGCTGTCCCTTCACAGAGTCAGAAGCCTGGGCCCTCAGGCCCCAGACTGGGGCCAGTTAACTGCCCCAGGGCTGGACATAGTTTGACAATAGAACAGGCTGTTTGAAATGAGGACAAGCCCTGGAAATCGGGCTCTTACAGTCTTTGCAGCTCAGTGGGTGCCCTTGTTCACGTAGAGGACAGCTTTCTGGATGCTCCAGCGGAGGGGAGACCTAGGCAGAGGGCTCGGGGCCCAGCTGATTCCCAGGTTGTAAAAAGGAAGAACCTGCTGGCCAGAGAAAGCAGGCACGGCTCCCGCACGCTCACGTTTCCTCTACTTTGTAGAGTGCCTGTCAGCTGGAGCTGAGAGATGAGTTTCCACGACCTGTGGCTCGGTAAGTGGAAATTCTGGCAAGCCAGAACGGAGCGCTACACGCTAAGGTGTTTTCAATAATGATCCCCTGCTGAATAGTGGTTTGGGGAAAGTACATGAAGAGGAATACCCCTTTTGTCAGGGCCCACTTGAAATGGGCCTTTAAAATTATAATAAAAATACTTAGATCATTGAAATAATTTAAATGTACAAATTTGAGGCAAATAGTACCATATTTTATCTTAATATGGGGGGGTGAGAAAGGGAATCTTAGCAATTTGGGGCACATATCGTGCATGTTTGAATGCATAGCCATGACACTGGGGTCGCGCAGTCTGAATGTCTTCACTCCTTTGAAGCAGGTTAGAACTTCCAACATTACACTGCAGCTTCTCTGAGGTTTGTATTTACTCATTCTCTTGCTCACTCGTTCCTTCCTTCTACAGACATCCTGCGAGGGCCCCTCTGTGCCAGATCCTGGCACTCAGTCTATCTGTGAGTGAGGTGGACCCATTTCAGCCTTTACAGTCGAGCCTTTGATGAATTCCCCATTGTCCAATGTAACAATTGTGGAGGAAGCTGAAGCAAATAAGACTGAATTTTTAAGTATTATAATAGGGTTATATTTCAGTTCAGTGGAGAAAAATTGGACCTTTAATAAATATTGTTGGAATAAATGTCAGGCCACTGGGGGAAATGGATCCATGTCCACACTTCTCATACGAAAATGAATACCAGACAGACCAAAGATGCATGTTAAAAAACAAACAAACAAACAGCAGACATTAGAATAGAATATGGCTCAATATAACATTTGTTACATATAATAGGGAATTATCGCTATGTACATAAAACTCTTACAAATCAATAAAGAGGAAAAAAAATAGGAAAATGGGGCCAAAACCAGCTGACAATTGACATGCAAATGGCCGGTTAACATGAAAGGTGCTGAACAACAATAATTAAATGCAAATTAAAACAAAGTTGTTTTTTCTCCTATCAGATTGTCAGTGATGAAGAAGATAAATTTCCATTTGGGGTCATGCGAACCTGAGTTTAAACCCCAGTTTTGGTACTCTAAGGCTATGTGGAAAGGAGTCATCCTTTTACCACCCTTGCTGTACTGGGGCAGAGTCACTGCCGGTCATTCGCAGAGATTTCAGGAACACAGCAGGTTCTCTTTCCCTGTGCCACCTGTTTACCTACAGCATCAGGAAGCGGTCACGTCCGTCCCCAACAGAGGAAGGGGAGCTGTCACTCTTTGCTTCAGTTTATCACAAATAGTCCTTTGCTTAAAAAAGTAATATATCCCACATTTGGTCTTATCTGGATTAGGAAATTAACTCTTCTCAGGCCCGTTTTAGGACCCAGACTCATTCATTCTTTGCCTTTGGAGAAAGATGATGATAATTAAGGATCATTTAGGATTAGTGCCCTTTCTCTTCTGGGCACTGCAGCATGTGGGATTTTTCCCCCAATAATTAAAAATATTTTTCCTCCAGCTTTACTGAGATATAAATTTCCACATATGATTGTATACGTTTAAGGAGTACAATGTGTTGATTTGATATGTTTGTAAATTGCAAAATGATTAGAAGGTGGTGTTTCTGTTGGTTTTCCAGCAAGCCTTCAGTGCAGGCTGGGGACAGCACCCGTCTGCCCGACGCCAGCTCACTGGGGGCTGTAAGGTGCAGTAGTGGGTGGTCTGGACTCACCACCCTGCACAGACAGTCGCCTCAGCTTTTCCATTTCCTTCCCTCCTCTTAGCATTGCACTCTGCCATGGTGTCGCCCAGAATACTGGAATTTCCTAGATTAATGGCATTTTGGACACGTGTACCGTTTGGCCTCAGGGTTCCCCCTGGAATGTGGACCTCCAGGTCCAACGGGAGAGACCTGAGCCTCATTACTGACATTCAAGCCTTTGGCTGTCTACCTCTCATCACAGCTATTTCGAATTTTGTTTTCATTTTTTCAGCATTCCTCTAATGAGTGAGGGCTGGTGTGTTTTCCGACCCATTTTGTAGAAGGAGGAAGTAAGGCAGGATGTGAAAGCCTGAGGAGTCCAATGGGGAGGCCCAGCATTTCCTCCCCTGAAAAGGAAGCAAATATTTCCTCTTAGGAACAAGAAACTTCAGCCAGCCCTTCTCTGCATTGTGGGTGGGAGAAGGGAATGGGGAGGGAGAGAGTGGAGAGGCATTAGCTGCTCCGCCCCCTATTGGATGTAGGTTTCCTGGGGTGGGAGTGAGGCTGGTTACTTCCCAGGTCCTGACTGAGGGCCCAGTGCCTCAGCAGGGTATCTTCTCGGCCCTGAAGGATGCCAGAGGAGAGGGCTCAGCTTGGAAGACTTCCCTTTCTTAGCTGGCCTCGTGCTTGCTTCTCATGCCCCACAATTGCGGAGGCTCTGAGAGGGCTCAGGGCAGTGCATCAGGCCCACGCCAGGGAACAGACAGCTGGATGCATGGCTGTGGCCTCCTGAAAGCCTCCCGTCAGCCTGGATTTTTTCTGGTCTGTAGGATACGGTCCGGGCTGGATACTGCAGCTGGTCTTAGAACAAACTGGTCTGAGCACAGGCTCTTTAGCACCCTGAGTACAAGGGTGAGATTGGGGAATGGGGAAGGGGTGAAGAGGAGACGTGTTTAATGTTGGATTTCCCTTTCCAAGTTCAACGAATTGCCTGCTGAAAGTAGGGGCTGTACTTGTGTAACAGATTCACTGTGATAAATTGATGCTTCCCTGCTGGGTTCAGATCAGAGACCTAGGGGGCTGGTAGGGAGTTAGAAAGACGGGTGAGACCTAGGTGATGAAGGATCATCATGATGTTGGTTGACGGCATCCAGAGTAAAGTTCTAGCCCAACTCCCTAATTTTACACACAGGGAAACTGAGGCCAGAGGAAGCCGGGTGTCTTCAAGGTCACAGAGCTGTAAGGGGTGGAACCTGAACAAGGATCATGGTTTCATAACTTCTAAGGAAGTGCTCTTTGTAAGACCCATGGAAGTGCTGCCATCCAGGTAAGAATTTTCAAGTGCAATCGATTGCTCAGTGCATTTTGAAAAATCAGATCACCAGATGGAAAAATCAGATCACCGCTCCTCCACAAGGTTGAAATCTGGGAAGAATGTGACATTTGCACTCCCATTCCTTCATCTTTCCTGATGATGGCACTGCTGCTTATTTTGAAGGGGCTGTGAATCTCAGTGGTAATGGCTCCATTGCACCGGAAGCCCTAACTAACCCACACTTTGGTGTAAATTTATTCCTTTAAGCTACTCTTACGATGTCTGCGGCATCAGGATGATCAGGACGTCAGTAAAATTGCTTAAGAATCAGAGGGGATGGGGAGAAAAAGACTAGTGAAACCATCTAGAGAAGGAACACTGGGTGGCTGTAGAAGAAGAACATGTAACTTACGAGGGGTCCAGAGAGAGGGGAAACGGCCGCGCTAAGGACGATTCGGAGAGGAAAGAGATACTTGTAAAGGAAGGAACCTCACATTCGTATGGTAGCCCAAGGGGTGAGAATAGAGACAAATAAGAATTTCGGGACAAAGTCCTAAATATTGGTACATTAGAGCAGCTGCAAAATATGAACGATTTTCTCGGGAACTCAAAAGGGGAGCCAAGAGCCAGTTGGATTAAAAAAGAAAAGGTCAGAGATAGTTCTTTCTTCTTTGGGACTCAGTTCCCCCGTCTTAGGTAGACTAAGACCTTTCCTGTCTTTTCTAATTTGAATGTTCTGTGCAGCTGGGTCTGAGTTTTATGAGCAAAGGATGAGTCATGCTGTTAGGGGAAATTAGAAATTCAGAGGAGAGCTCAAAGGCCAGAGCGTTATTGAGCTGTCTTACCTGGAGGAAGAATGCATATTTGAAGACAAGCCCCTACCTTCTGTTTTTTCTTTTTTTTTCCATCAAAAGCAATTTTTATTTGTATTCATATACTTGACTCATTTTTTTTCCCCTTGGAGTAAAAATGTTTCAGGGAGGGAAAGTCATAAGCCATTCCCAGGAAAGCTGGGAGCTTGGTTCTGCAGAGCCTGGCTGAAGTCAATGGATACTCCAGGAGGCGGTGCCCCATGTTTTGGGGGCTTTGTGAAGCTCATGCCCCTGTGGCTTCACTTCCACCATAGAGAGTTGTCTCCTTTGTTTGGGTTCTAAATCCCTTGAGAAATTTCTTCCCTAGCACCTTATTTATCTCCTAGAGAGTATGATTTAGTTTCCATTTTTAAGCTTTTGTAGTCACAGTTCTGTCCTTATAAAGCCAGTAGGTATTGGTATAAGTGGTGATTCAGACAGAAACACTGTTTAAGGTTAGAAATTCAAGGCAAGAACTTGGTTGAAAACTAAATATTCCTAATTCCCAAAGGATCTTCCCAGAGTCATGAATGACTTGTGGCTCCTTCATATCCAGAGTACAGATCTTTCTTGACTTACAGTGGGGTTGCATCCTGATAAATACCCCTAAAATATCATAAGTTGAAAATGCATTTTATACAGCTAACCTACCAAACGTCATAGCTTAGCTGAGCCTACCTTAAACGTGCTCAGAACACTTACATCAACCTATGGTTGGGCAAAATCTTCTCACACAAAGCCTATTTTATAATAAAGTGTTGAATATCTCATGTAATTGACGGAATACTGTACTGAAAGGGAGAAACAGAATGCTTGTCTGGGTCCAGGATGGTTCTAAGTGTATCCTTGTTTACCCTCGTGATCGTGTGGCTGGTGGGAGGCTGTGGCTTGCTGTGCTGCCCAGCATTACAAGAGAGTATGTTGTACCCCATATCACTAGCCTGGGGAAAGATCAAAATTCCAAATTCCAAGTATGGTCTCTGAATGCGTTTCGCTTTGGCATCATCGTAAAGACAAAAATCATGAAAGTCAGACTGTCATAAGTCAGGGACCAACTGTAATGCCAAACTCAAGTCTGTGCTCAAACTCTAAATTACCTACAAACAACCCCTCCCCTTCCCATTTTTGGTGACACCCACTGCTCCTTGAAAGTCAGCAGCATTTTCCTTCTAGACTGTGCGCTGAAGTTTTTAGGGATCATGAGAAATACAAGAATTTCTTGCACTACAGCAAAGAACCCATTAAAAGCCCTTTCTTTCTTAGTATATAAATATTCTCAAAGTCATTTTTAAAAAAGGATAAACCACTGACAGAAAAATGAGCAAAAGACATGTCTTTTAACCCATAGGGAGAAAAATATCAAAATCTATGAAAAGATGAAGAATGATATTAATTACTAAAGAAATGCAAATTAATGAGATGTTTTCACCTATCAGATTGTCAAAGATTAACAACATTTGATACCATATAGTGTTGGCTCAGGTGTTCTGGTAAAGGTAGTTTACAACAGTTGCTAAGAATGTGGCAATAGCTATAAAATTTTTTCAATGCTCATATCCTTTGAGCATTTTCTTTCTTTTTTAAAATTGACATATAACATTGTGTACGTTTAAGTATAAGGTGTTGATTTGATGACCCAGCATTTTCATATCTGTGAATTTATCCTCAAAAACATTTGCATAAGAACATAAAAAATACGTTCAAGAATATTTCTTGTGGCATTGTTTAACTGGAGAAAATGGGGAAACCCCATTTATTGATGATTTGGTTAAATAATCTAGAAAACATCAGATTTGGTTTGGGTAAAAAATTATAGTACATTCATTCATACAATGACGTACTATGCAACCTCTGAAAAGAATGGGGAAGATCTGTATGTATTAATTGGCATGTAAAGATGCTCAAAATTTATATAGTGAAGAAAGCAAATTGCAAAACAGCATGTTATTGAGCAATAAAGCGTGATAATTGTACATTGTTATATGAGACATTTTCATTAAAAAAGACTCCAGTGCTTATTGAACGTTCAGTACGTATCAGGCTCTGGACTAAGCAGTTGACATGTATTAAATCATTTGCTCCTTCCAGTGGGTATTGGGATGTGCTCTCTCACTCTCCCCATTTTTTTTTTTTTTTTTTTTTTGCAGTACGCGGGCCTCTCACTGTCGCGGCCTCTCCCGTTGGGGAGCACAGGCTCCGGACGCACAGGCTCCGCGGCCATGGCTCACGGGCCCAGCCGCTCCGCGGCACGTGGGATCTTCCCAGACCGGGGCACGAACCCGTGTCCCCTGCATCGGCAGGCGGACTCTCAACCACTGCGGCACCACGGAAGCCCTCACTCTCCCCATTTTAATGTTAAGCAAGTCAAGTCCTGGAATGGTTAGGCAACGTGCCCAAGGTCATATAGCTAGAAATGGATAGAACTGGGTTTTAAAAGTGGGAAATGGAAGAAACCAGGCAGTTTGACTCTAGTCTGCATACCTAACCACTATGTTCTATAGCTTCTCAGGATTTTCTGATATCATAGTTTACATCTTTTTAGTATTTGAAATTTTGTAATGGGCCCATCCTGTTTTGGGAATTTAAAAAGTAATAAATGTATATAAAACAACAAAGACTAAAACCAGTCTCATTCCCAGGACACTTAAAAAATTTTTTTTAAATGGAGAATAGGATTTTAAAAATTGAGATACTTAGAAAATCAAAATAGTGTTCTACAAAAACAATTGTGATAGAAACTCCAGTATAACCAGGAGGGAACAATTAGCAATTAAAATAAAACTTTTAAAGTGCAAAGATGTATTGACAGCTTATGTATAAAGAAATCTGTAAGTAAAATGAGAAATTCACAGGCTCTAAAGACATGTAAACTAATTTTAAGGTAATGCATGTGCTTATTAAATAAGCAAAAAATAATACAAAGAAATGAAAGCCAGTGCTGGTGGGGCTGGAGGGAAATGGAAAAGCATTGTTGGAAGCCTAGCAGTTGTCCAGAATTCCGGGTAGTATGTGACGAAACTAGAAGCAGAAGCCATCTTTTACAGATCACTGTTCTGGGCTTCCCTGGTGGCGCAGTGGTTGAGAGTCCGCCTGCCGATGCAGGGGACACAGGTTTCTGCCCCGGTCCGGGAAGGTCCCATATGCCGCGGAGTGGCTGGGCCCGTGAACCATGGCCGCTGAGCCTGCGCTTCCGGAGCCTGTGCTCCACAACGGGAGAGGCCACAACAGTGAGAGGACCGCGTGCCACAAAAAAAAAAAAAAAAAAAAAATCACAGTTCTATTCTCCACTCTAGCACAGGTGTAGGAATGCAAATGATGGATGGATGGATGGATGAAACTGTTCTTATCCTTTTACTTGTTAATTCCACTTTGAGGCCTATGCACCATAGGATTAATCCAGGAAACAGTATTTTGTACAAATTCATTGCACTGCTATTTATAATAGTGAAAAAGTGGGACATTGCAAATGCCAACAATAGAACACCCAAGTCAGGGATGCTCTACCTACACTGTGGATTCTGTTTAAGGAAAAAAATGTGTATATAAAATGAAAATTATTCTCAGTGGGGAAAATGACAGAAGGGGGTCCAATTCAGGACTGTTTGTTGTCTGGTTGACATTTGTCAGTTGTTTTGGTTAAGTGGAGGATGGAGAATGCAACAGCAACATGGGCTACGGAAAACTTTTCCAGGCCGTGGAGAGTGTGGATGTAGGGGGGAGGTGGGGAGTGAAGAAGCTAGACACTGCTTTTTTAATGAAAGTCAACAAAAGGGATCAAAACTGAAGTTTTCTTACATTCTTGGTTAAGAGATGTTGAGAGCTCTTGACTCTTCTTCTGGCTGGACTGGGCACTGCAAAGAGAGAGAAAGGAATGGTTTTAGAGAACACCTGTGAGACTGATGTAGCTACAGTAGCAATACAGAGAGGGTTTGCACCTGGAGTGGGACAGGGCCCAGGAGAGGGGGGTTGGGAAGAAGAGGTGGGTGCAATTGCAATTTTATTATTTTATTTTATTTTTTAATAGATCTTTATTGGAGTATAATTGCTTCACAATACTGTGTTAGTTGTGTTAGTTGATGTTGCACAACAAAGCAAATCAGCCACATGCATACGCAGGTCCCCATATCCCCTCCCTCTTGAGCCTCCCTCACACCCTCCCTA